CTCCTACCTCTTTGCCTCTCCCTCTGTATGTTATTTTTTCAGAGGTTCTGTATTTAATAATTGTCATTCAGTTTCATGATGGTACAGTATAACAATTAAATATATTCTTTTTCTTATTTATTTTTAATGATTTTTCATCATTGATATTCTCATAATCATTTTCATCATTTACATTTTAAACATGCATTTTTGGCATGTATCATTTAAAATCTAAATTCGAAATTCTAACTTCCAATTCTCTTCCTAGAGGTGACCAAAGCATGGCGATGCTTGGAGAACGAGGCGACACGCCAGAAATGCATGGATATCGTCGAGGAAGCAGAGGCCATTGTAGCAAAGAGGGTGAGGCATCTTCTTTCCTTTCGTATCTGTCTTAAAAACAGATAGATTGGTTGTATTTTTATGTCTTTATTTTACTTGTTCCTAATTCCTTTTAATTTTACTTTATCTCTTTCTTAGTTTCTCTCATTTTCAAATTCATTCTCTCTCTCTCTCTCTCTCTCTCTCTCTCTCTCTCTCTCTCTCTCTCTCTCTCTCTCTCTCTCTCTCTCTCTCTCTCTCTCTCTCTCTCTCTCTCTCTCTCTCTCTCTCCTCTCTCCTCCTCTCTCCTCTCCCTCTCCCTCTCCCTCTCCCTCTCTCTCTCTCTCCCTCTCCCTCTCCCTCTCCCTCTCCCTCTCTCTCTCTCCCTCTCCCTCTCCCCTCCCTCTCCCTCTCCCTCCCCCTCCCTCCCCTCCCCTCCCTCCCTCTTTAATCTTTTTCTTCATTCTTTGCAAAGAATACTAAACACAAAAAAAAGAGAGAAAGAAAGAAAAGGAAAAAATCCTAAAAGAGAGAGAAGAGTTATTTTTACCATCATCACCCCCACAGATTGAGGAACGGAAAAAGCAGCTCAAAAGAGAAGGCAAGGACACCCGCGTGGATGAAGATGACCCAGAGAAACTGAAACGCGCTGTTTATGTCCAGACCATGAAGCTATTTGCAGATATGGAGCGCAAGAGGAGACAACAGGAGACACGCGACCAGGAGGAAAGAAAAAGAAAGCGAGAGGAAGAAATTGAGGAGGAAGAGCAGAAGAAAGCCGAGAAAGAGTGGCAGAAGAACTTTGAGGTGAGGAGTTTTAGAAAGGTTCTTGAGATATTTTGTACCCTCAGTTTTGTATCAACTTTTACTTATATTTTTTTCTTTTGTATCCTCCTTGTGTGTTAGTAAAGAAAAAAAGATCTCAGGTTCTTTGCGTTATGATTATGTTTTAAGTTGTTTGAAAATAACTTTGTTATCATTCATGTGCACATACACATTTACATACAATTCGTATAGTGTATTTTAACGGAAACAGTTATACATTCACATCCATATATACACTCATTCATTCACACATGTTCAGCCTAAGTGTTAGAAAAACGCATAGGCTATGGCCACACTGAACATGCTGCAAAGTGAATAAAAATTCACAGAAAACTGTACCCATATCTCTCTCTCTCTCTCTCTCTCTCTCTCTCTCTCTCTCCTCTCTCTCTCTCTCTCTCTCTCTCTCTCTCTCTCTCTCTCTCTCTCTCTCTCTCTCTCTCTCTCTCACTTCCCTATACCTATCTCTATCTCCCTATACCTCTCCTCCTCTATCCCCCTACCCCTCCCACTCCCTTTCCCTCTCTACCTTTTACTCCTTTCTGTCAGTCACTCATCTTTTCATTCTATTTTATCTCGGTCTCTCTTATCAACAGGAATCTCGAGTGGACCGCGTGAACAGTTGGAAGGACTTTCAGAAGGGCAAGTCTGCAAAGAAATTCAAAGGATTTAAACCACCAAAGCACAAGGCTGAGGCAAGGGACTAGCAACATATGTGTGTATATATGTGTGAGTGTGTATATATATATACATATATATAGATGTATATGTATATATACAAAAATTTATGTTTGTGTGTGAATGTAAACTTCTTTTTTATCATCCTTTTTATTTTTCCTAATTATGATGTATGTCTTGTTATCTTTTTGTAATTTTTCTTTCTTTTTTTTTTTCTTTTTTAAGAAGGCCCACTGTCTCACAGTTGATCACATAACGTCACATGATGTTAATGGCGAGGTAATGAAGTCTTTATTCTTTTCATTAGATGGTTACCTAGTCATTCTGAGCAATAGCTGAATATATATATGTATGTAATGTGGAGACTTTTGAACTTTTGACAGGTTCTTTGTGATCTTTATATTGGGGGAATTTTTCTTTTGGGCTTATTTTTCCAAATCCCCCAATCCGGAGGGGAAGATTTATTTATATAAGTTTTTTTTTTTCATAAAGATGTTACCTTGTTTTATGAGAGATGATGGAATTATTTTTGGTTTTCAAATAGGTTACTGTGGCATTAGGTAATATTATTTTTTATCTTTATTGACAATTATCTGTATCAGAATCATTAATATTAATGATAGTAAAGATAATAATATTGGTAATATATGCATTCTTTCCACTCATTGGCTTATTGAATGTTATTATCATTATTACTATGATTATTATTTTTTTTCTTAACACAGGTAATATTTTGCTTCTTGTATAAAGCTTTTATATAAATAAATGACCATATTTAGCACTGAAACCCCTCAAAAATGTCATATTTTTATTTCCAATTCCATATTGCAACTTCATCCTTGTATGTGGCACAGATTACTGATATTTTCTCTTTCCTTTTTTTGTCAATTATTTAGCGATTTTGAATGGAAGTTTAGTTCTCCATAAATCATATTTTCTGCAACTGATATCAGAGGAAAATCATGCACATCACTCTGCTAAAATGTCACACAGAATAAGTTTTCATCGACATTACCGTTCTACATCTTTTCCCCTTTTTTCTTTAGCAGGATTTTCATTTGACATTTTGTTATGGATTTTAGTACTTCTCTTGATAATTAACCCGTTGATGACAGGTACATGTATCGTCCACTGTAGTTTTGTTTTGTGAATTTTGTTGATACACAGATGGTCCTACAAGCGCTTATTCACCCAGGAGTTAATTGGTAGGCCATACATGACCTCACCCACTTGCCCCATTCCTTGAGCGTTCATTTTTTTCTTCTTTTTGTTGTTCTGCTTTCTTCTTTCTTATGTCTTTTTCCTTTCTTCTTTCCTATGTCTTCTCTTTCTTCTTTCCTATGTCTTCTCTTTCTTCTTTCTACTTCTTTCTTTCTTATTTTTGTTCTTCTTTTATCTTTCTTACTGTTATTATTGTTGTCATCATTATGATTATTTTGATGCTATGGAAATGTTAACAGCAATAAAAGATTTTTTAAAAACTTTCCAAAAATCAAGAAAAAGGGTAAACAGGTGAGATGGATAGAACTAATAATTCTCCTTAGCGACTATGCTCTTGCGGATCTATTTGAGTATAAACAAAATTAATAAACTAAAAATGTCACAGTGGATATGGCATATATTTAAGTGCCATCCTGCCATCAATGGTTAAGGAAAATTATAGTAATCTATATTATTTATTTATATTTCTTTCAATTTTATTTCAAAAAGAAATCTCATGCAGGCTAAATTGTACTCAAGATTTATTTCTTACTCTTCTGTGTTTCTCTTTGAAGCTTTCATAGAATTTCTCTTTTTTTTTTCATAAGGTACATATATATTGTAGTCGTAAAAATTGAAAAAAATAATAAACCTAAAAAATGTGGTCACCAGTCACTCTAAACCATGAGTAAGATTTTCTCATGATCAATAAATTGTTTTTTGATTGCTGTGTGTTTCCAAAATGATGACAAGATTTATTGACTTTTTGCTGTTGTAATTTCTAGTTTGATAAAGTTAGAGAGAGAGGGGGGAAACAAAAAAAAGGAAAAGAAAAAATCATACATTTTCTGAATCCCAGCAGATATTTTTGTACAAATACTTTTGAACATAAATATGAAAATGACAAGTAATGTGTACTTGATTTTGTCAGCCGTGTTCAATAAATTTAGACCTGTTGGTCCGGTAGTCAGCACATTGTATATATTGTCAATCCTATAATGATTGCAAGGAGAACACTGTGGCTTTGTATTTTTTTTCTTATTTTTTTTTCTTTTTTTTTCTTATGACAAGGCAAGGTTTGTCTCTTGTAACAAAATGTGTTTGGGAAATCACAGCCAAAAATAAAAACACTTGAACCCCATTTAACATTGTTTTGCTTTTACATCATAAGGGAAAAAAGGGAAAAATTCAATCAAACAGGCAAACAATCCTTATTACACAACACAGCATAGAGTAGACACTGTTGGAACATATGGTTTTATCATCACAGACACACATAAGTCAACACTTTGTTAGATCTTAGGAACCTCCCTGACGTTCATCAAGGTTGAGCTGAATATTCTTCATTACCATAGGCTTCTTTTAATAACAGCATTATGGTACTAAAATGACCAGTCACCAAGAAACTGACACTGAAGGTAAAGTTAAATACGGATTCTGCCTTTTGATTTGGCGTGTAAGATGAACTACAAGGATAAATTCTAAAAACTACATATGTAGGATAAACTACAAAAGATAAACTATAAACTTGTGTAAACAGTGGAAAGAACTTTGCTGCATTATGTACAGTATGTGATAACTTATAACATACTGTATGATGTACAGTAAAGCCTTGTGTTTGGTGATAAAACTTGCATGACTGGTACATGCATGTCATTTTCAGTCATGTCACTTGGTGAAGAGTGGAGGGGACACAGGTACAATGAGACTAGTGCATGTAGATGATTTTCTGTAAAGTTATTGGACATATGGTGGAAATTGAAGCCGCATTTAATTTGCTAAATACAGTGCTAAATGCAACCATTCCATAGTTGAGTCTTTATTGTAATTTTTTTTTCTTCTCATGCTATTAAAACAAAGGGCTGCATTTCAGTAAAAAAGGTGTTATTGAAAATCATTATGTTCCTCATTTGGTCAGTGAAATATTCGTTATTGGTTTCTTGGTAAGTGAGGGAGTTATGTACAGTACGTACTAAGTAGTGTTTAGGGGAAAAAATCAAGGCAAAGTTGCAAAAAAGTCATTTTCATATATATCTAAACATTTACAATATTCTATATTTAATGGAAGCTACACCTTAAGCAGCCAGTACCTTAGGTTCTGATAAAGGTAACAAATTGTGCTCCCAGTATAAAGAAATGTTATTTGAATTTTGCCTAATAATTTCTTATTTTATATTTTGTGAATAAACTCTGATATAACAATCTGAAATGGTAATATATGGCTTCCTTGACCTTAAAATTATATATCTAAACCTCCCACACCATCAAAAATGGACATATAGAAGCAGATATGTAATTTTGTACCACAAGATGAATGGCAGCCATTTTGAATGTTCACACCTGACTGTTATCCCACATTTTCACAAGGTTCATCGTAACTCATTTTAATCAAGCCCTCAAATAGATTGAAATCAACCTTCAAACCTTGGTTCTGGACAAACAGTCGTGGGCCCCTTTTGTGGGTTTTCTACAATATATATTAGAGACACACACGCATGCATGTACCCCCCCCACACACACACACACACATGTACATATATATCTCCCCCCTCCCCCGTCAACTCTTTCCAGGGTAGACCATTCTGTAGCCTTTCCGGTTGTATTATTTAAAGTTTGGGTGAAACCTGCCATCGCAAATCCCTCAGAACTGAACTGAAATGCTCATCCCTGTGGCCACACTACCCTTCAGCTGCGCCTTGCTTCATTTTCATCCGAGTTTCCAGTTACCAGCTTTTTTTCTGCACCGCTTCGTCCCAGATCTTGTCCAGTCGCAGCCGCAGCCGTTAGTGGCTCTCAGCATCTTCATCTCAGCCACTCTTAGCTGCCTCTGTAGCTCCTTTGTAGCAGCTTCATCTGTTCCCCATTGTTTTAGCATCCTAACCTTCACACTTTTTGGGACCTCTTAGTCACACAGGTTCCCCGCAGTCAATCCAGCCTAAGTGTATGCTTTTATCCAACCCTGTCTGAGCCCTAAGCCCCATTACCTTGAATGGTAGACCTTGAAGCCAGAACCAAAATCCCTGTCTTCTTCCTGCTAATCTTTCATCCCTTCGTCCTCAAGCGTATCTCCACTCCCAAAGCCTTGTCTGTGCCATTCCCTTGTCCTCTTGCACAAAACCAAGTCGTCTGCAAACACCATATCCCAGAGAGCTACGCTTAATGCTGGTGAATGCCCTGGTGAATAATTCTCACCAGATGCTATCATGCATGTTGTTCTGTACGATTTACATATTGTCCCCCTTCGTTCCCTCAGTTTTAGACCTAAGGAACAGTTGTATGGCTACTGTCAAATTGTAGTTCATGTAGATTTGGGGTTCCACAGAATACTTTCTAAAGGACAATGGAGCAATATGAAAATTATGACGTCGAATTAATCTGAATTTTATCTCACCTACAGTACCTACATATAACTATCTCCCACATCAATAAATTGGAGTCTCCAGGTTTTTGTCCAATAGCTGCTGACACTATTCATGACTAATGATAACTGAATCTGAAAAGATAACAGTACTGAACAGGACCATGGAGATCATATATTGCTTGTGGACTACAGAAGGAAAAAGGTTGGGAACCCCAAACCTAGATGAAAACTGGTTAAATACTATGAAATGGTCCCAAGGTTAAAGGAGTTATCTCAACGGGATTCTGGACTTCGGACGTTTTGGCACTCCAAACGTTCTCCTGTAACAAAAGTGGCACTGTCTCTACACTTATTTTTGCAGGATCATACAATAATGCAAGGCTTTGTGCTTTATGATACGTTTGGGAATATTTGGCCATGCCCGTTAACTCATATTCTAACTTGTGTTCGAAATAAAACAAAATTGAAGTTTATTACCCGGGGATTACGAACTTTATTTGAAAAATAAAGAACGTAATTATTGTTCATGGAAAATAGGGGGCCCCTTTTTGTCCACATTAAAAGAGTAGAGACCATCGCTTCATCTTAGATCACGGAAGGTATATTGCTCTTAATCATCCATATTCAAAATGTACAGACCTTTGTTTCATCTAATGCAGAAGTTAGACGGCCTTAGCTCTGCGCTACGTACCAGAAGATAGAAGGAAACAACTGCGCCCTACTTCACAAAAGGTAAAAATCGTAAACTTCGGCGTCCTTCATGGAAGATAGAATGACTATATATATGATATAAAAACTCGGTGTCCAATGCTATATCTGTACTGTGCTTAGTCACATCCCACTTCACGGGGTCAAAGATCCATGGAATACTTAATTGATAATAAAGATATACGGTCAACCATACCCCAACAACCAAGACCATTTCATAATAAGCAGAGTTTCCGATCTCTCATACGATTATTTATGAATTAATTTAGCACCCTTCCAAGTAGACCTGTGTCATTTCTTTCATTGTTTTACGTCTAACATACATACTTACCATTTACCATCTCAATTTTTGATCAAGTGACACCATTACTTGGCGGCTACACAGCACCGAATAAATTTGTAAAATTTAAAGAATATTCTCAATTAGATGTTTGAGTGTAATGGAATTTATGTTTGATCCCTTAAATCTACTTCCCCGCCGTGTTTCACTAACACGTGATAACAGACCATTTTTATTTATTGATGTTCTCTATGAAGATGAGCCATTAGGATGAAATTGGTCTGGTCGTTTTACGTTATGATGATTTCTAGAGATCTTCTAGGAATTATATATTAACACTAGTTTTATGGAATCGTTATTTCCAACAATCATGAAAAGCGTACGTAGGAATATCTAAACCTTATCACCAGCTCAGTCAGAAGCCTTTAGTATTAATTATAAGAAAATAACATTGTCTGTGAATATCATGAACTAAGAAAGCGAAAAAGATGAAAAGAACATTATTAGTAAAATTGAATGGCTGGGATACCAATAAACCGAGCACGGAGGTACAACTTTTATTTCATTCCCACATGCTCTTATCCTTCTTATCCACGGACAGTCCAACAAGTCCCAGATGCACTGAACCCAAACCCAAATTCGTGAGCTTAATATTAGCATAAAAAAATTGGCAATGGGTGTCATTAAAGCTTTTTTAATACATGAATATAAGCGAATTTTAGTGACGGTGCTTCTGGGGGAGGAAATTTTTGCCGCCTCCCTCGGGACACCTGGCAAAGCAAATGGAACTAAATGAACAAAAACAACGAAAAAAAATAAAATCCATTATTTATATAATTCTGACTGAATTTGTAGATGATTTTGCTGTTATGAAAACTCGATAAGTGACTGTACAATATTTACACAAAAATGAATGAACTTTCTATAACAAAAAAATATTTAAGATCAAAAGAGAGAGAGAGAGAGAGAGAGAGAGAGAGAGAGAGAGAGAGAGAGAGAGAGAGAGAGAGAGAGAGAGAGAGAGAGAGAGAGAGAGAGAGAGAGAGAGAGATAATACTATATATATGTATATATATAGTATATATATACATACATATATATATATATATTATATATATATATATATATACATATATATATATATATATATATTATATATATATATATTATATATATTTTTTTTTTTTTTTTTTTTTTTTTTTTTTTTAGTTTACACATTCTTCCCATCAAACCTAAAACGTACGCTAGGCTCCTCAAAGGCTCTAGTCCCCGGGCACCTAAATGTCTATCTAAGCCAATGATAAAAATGCCAGTTGTCTGCAAAAGAAGCCATCGCACGAGGACAATGTTCCATGTACTCTCAACTCTTTGTACTATCTTCAACTATGTACTCTCAACTCTTGGTACTCTTTGTACTATCTTCAAATTTGTAGTGTTCTGTGTACTCTCAACTCTTGGTACTCTTTGTACTATCTTCAAATTTGTACAGTCGAGGGAACTTATTCGGCGTAAAAACCTTGAAGTATCTTCATCAACGAGATTTTTAAAATGGGAGTGAAGCCCAAAAGAAGAATGAGAAATCGGAATATTTACCTGTTTACATTTCATTTTTCCTTTTCAAAGTTCTTTCATTTGCTCTGTTTTCATCATTTTTAGCTTTCTTTGCAAATACATTTTTTTGCCTGTTAAATTATCAAATTATTATATTTGCAGAACGTATAAATGAAAATTGGGGAAAGCCATATGGGAGATTAATAATTAAGTCAACTTTTTAAGGTAAAATACACCAGCA